GAAGGCGATACGATAAACAGTGTAGGAGGAGATGTGTTTTGTTAAGAGCACGTTTGAGAGGAAATCTTACTTTGAAAGGGCAAGTAGCTCACTTCCTGTTGGATTGAGGTCATGGGTGTCAGCACGTGATTTGTAAGTCAAAAACACCAGTTTTGGTTTGGTATTTCTACGACATTCCTACGGGCTGCAGTGCCCAGTTTAGTGCACCTAGGTGGCGCTAGAGAGCCCATTTTGGCACTTTAGGGGTTAATAATGTGTATTTGCTGTTTCAAATGAAGATTCTGCTGCTGTAATCTGTCCTTTAAAGATTGTGAGACACACAGACAGAGCTGTGTGTGTGTGTGTCTGTGTGTGCAGCCGTTGTCATGGCGATTAATGACTTGCCTGCACCTGAGGGGCACACACAGAGCTCATGAGAGAGCAGATCAGCAAAGGCTGTTTATAATGGGTTTTAACTCCTCGAACAAATTGTTGCCATACCCAAACTGTTGGTCCAATCAAGAAAATAAAGTGATTGTGAGAGACAGCCACTTCTCGTGAACGCACGTGTCGTGTTTTATATTTCTACAGTCAAAAATGTGGTCAGAGGAGTGAGTTTAAAATGTGTTGCACCCCAGCTGTTTCCAGAAATTTCTCCTCTGAGTTTACATGGGAGTGAATGAGAAAAAAATCGGTGCTCCCTTCGCTTTGGAGCCACTCAGCAAAAATGTGTACGTGTGAGAGATTCCATGTCAACATATCTGTGAGCAGGACAAATTTTCCTACGTTTTGTGGTATAAATTGTGTCTGTATAGTGAAAATTGTGGCCATGGCAGCGAGTTAAAGACAAAAGTTTTAGACGATTTTTAGAGCCCTCTCCACTCTAGCTCACAGCATTCCGTGCAATACACACCCATTGTAAACTGAGAATTTCTCCACTTTTGCTCATGGTACTTTGAGAGGCACAGATGAAAAACGGTAAAAGATATGAAAAAGATGAAAACATGAGTGAATAGATGAGACCTGTGGCAACATTTGAGAGTTGGAATGGAGTCTGTAGCATAAAGTATGGAGACGCTGTAAAGGCTAGAAAAAGGCCAAAGATTGGTCTCTTTCTCCCCCCTGCTGCCATTCATTTCCTATGGGGCAGCTTTCGAAGATCGTCAGGACGTTTTTCTGACATCTCACCTTTAGGAGCCCATAAAATCCAAACTAATCAAGTAATGAAAAAGTTATAAATAAGATCTGATTAGAAGGAGTTGATCTGTCATCTGTGCAAGTTTGAAGCCGATAGGATAAACGGTGTATGACAAGAAGATTTTTTAGGAAAGGCAGTTTTAAGGTAAAATCTTACTTTGAAAGGGCAAATAGCTCACTTCCTGTTGGATTTAGGTCAGGGGTGTCAGCGCGTGATTTTTAGGTCTTCATGAGACGAACACGGCAGTTTTGGTTTCATGTTTCTATGATGTTCCTACAGGCCGTAGCGGCCATTTATGTGTGCCTAGGTGGCGCTAGAGAGCCCATTTTGGCACTTTAGGGGTTAATTTCTTGATTTTCTAAAATTTTTCACCGGTTCTGATATGCGTGCCAATTTTGGTGAGTTTTTGAGCATGTTTAGGGGTCAAATTCCAGTTCAAAGAGGCCTCTAGGCTCGGTCCCTAATAATGTGTCATTGTATAAAAGCAGCTGTCTGACTCGCAGTCACTTTCTGTCATGTTAGACTTGTTGGGGCTGTTGCTCGGTCAGTTACTGGAAACTGATTAAAACAAATTTCCTCTAGAAATGATGATGATGCGATAAGTTCAGTGACTGCTGTGTGAGAACAAGCAGGCTCGACTGAACAGGCAACTAAACACCAACACACGCAGGATTGTCTGTGTGTGTGATCCTATTCCCTCAGCAACTGGTAAAAAAGAAATTCAAGTATTAAAGCTTTTCTTGTGTAATCATGTGTAATTTGATCACTCTGAACGTGCACTGTGAACATGTTTACATTTGCCTGAACACACTCTTGTCTGTGCTTGAGCGACTGTAGTGTAAAAGTCAAAACCCTCATCAGGTGTTAGACCATATAAGTTGGATAAGATACAAATAGCTATATAACCATGTTAGTGTGTAGACTTTTGCAAAAACTAATCCTGCATTCATGTGTAATATGCAATATAACGGTGTGAACTCTTAGTGACATCTCAGTTGTGAACTCTTATTGACACACATAACCTATCACGCGCTGTGTAATGATATAATGCATTAACCTACACTCACATCATGTTGTGAACGCATAGTGACATTCATACAAGTTACCACGTGCTGTGTGAAGAAGATAGCACGCTCACTTGAGTGTACTGCCTAATGCACTTAAGAGTTTATATAACACGGGAAAAGGTCACACACACACTCAAATGATTGTATCACGAGGGACTGTAGCATGTGAGTCCCCAGAGATCACATGGGTTTTTTTTAAAAAATAGAGTGAGAGCGATTCCGGAAATACTGGTGGCAGATTCCAGTTGAGCAGGAATAAAGGCAAAAGTCTGCTACCTGTAAAAACGGATCTAAGTGGGAAGGACTACAGAAATGGGTGGAGATCTCTTCGACCTCCACCAGCATATAAGCCAGAGCGCTGAAAGCAGGTTTTCAGTCATCCTCCGGAGGCTGACTCGTGAGTTTGTCTGTGTTGTTGCCTGTGAACACAATAAACTCGATTGCACCAGATTCTGCCTATCTCCAGTGTTTTTCTAAGTACCAGCCAGCCGAACCTAAGATACTGAATTGACAACAAAAAACATTTTAGAAGAAACAAGGACGGGCTCAAGAGCCGTCAGGCCCAATTCTAGGCACCGATTTTTGTCACCTCACGACCTTCCCCGACTGTTTCCCAGAATTGTACAAACATAGCAGCAGGTTCTTGAGAAAGACTGTGCTAGGATGGGGGGATACAAGGGATGGGACTGCTTTAGGTCATAAAGGAGATGAGCTGCTTATCACAACTACATTCATCAACAGATGATCAATTATAATCCTTCAAAATATTAGCCTTTATTTACAAATGAACACAGTTTTGCCAAATTATCACTATTACAAATTAAAACTTAGAGTTAAGTCATCAGCATTTGTTAACATGCGTTAGAGCTAACTGACGACTTATTCATCATCATTGCTGTAAATCAGTGGTTAGCTCTGTCGCCTCACAGCAAGAGGGTTCTTGGGTGGTGGGTTCAAACCCCAGGGTGGGGGAGCCCGTCTGGTCACCAGACTATCACATAGAGACAGATAACCATTCATGCTCACATTCATGTGACCAGTCCAGGGTGAACTCTGCCTCTCACCCAGTGTCAGCGGGATAGGCTCTAGCACCCCCGCGACCCCTAACAGGATTAGCTGCTATAGAAAATGAATGAATAACTGCTGTAAATGACCCTCACTTTGTTGGATAACCACTTAGTCTCTGTCTGCCTTTAAAGGAACAGGCTACCAAAAATCAAAAGTACACATTTTTTCCTTTCACTAGTAGTGTTGTTTATCAACTAGATTGTTTTGGTGTGAGTTGCTGAGTGTTGGAGATATCAGCCGTAGAGACGTTTGCCTTTTCTCCAATATAATGGAACTGGATGACGCTCAGCTTGTGGTGCTCAAAGCACCTAATAAAATTCCTTTAAAAAACTCAACAGCAGTGTCTCTTTCTCGAAATCATGACCTGGTTACTCAAGATAATCCACAGACCTTGTTGTGAGCAGTTTCATATAGCAACTATTTTCTTTCTACAGAACTACACTCAACAACTGCATCATCCCACAGAAAGAATCTTGCATCTACTGCTAGCTCACCTAGCACCACTGAGGTAGCTAAGCTCACCTTTGGGTGATGTGTAGCTCACCTGGTACAGTGTGCGCCCCGTATTGGCTGAGTCCTTTGTAGCCGCCAAATTCAATTCTGCCCGTGTTTCATTGCCCTACATGCACAGATACGTGAAGAATCTGCTGTTTGAGAAAAAAAATCAGCTGAAGAATGATGATTTGCAAAGTTGACTGCAGGTAAAATGTTGAGTTGTGTTTTTAACAAGACATTTACACCTTGTTTGAATAGATGTGTGAACGCCTTTATCATAATGCAGGACCTCTCAGGGAGTCTGCGTTGATCACAAGTCACTACACAAAGCTGGGTGGATTTGCTGAAGTGTTCCTCCCCTCAAGGAAAACCCTGCACACGTCCTCAGATTCAACTCAAATATTGACTTGCTGTCAGAACACTTGAGGAGCAATTTGCAGTTCCTAAACCTGAAGGGATTGCCAGCATGAGCCTTCAATCAGAATAATCTCAAACATTTCAGTGCAGCTCTAACAGGAATTATCTTGCATAATAAGTCTTTCTTGATTCTTCAGTCCTGCCTCAGTGTTGTTGAGATAAGTTTTAAAAGATAGGTTGAATGTAACTAAGTTTATTTACTCAAGTGTTATACTTAAATACAAATCTGAGGTACTTATACCTGATTTTTGAAATCTAATGCCACTTTTCACTCCCACTCCACCACACTTCACAGGTAAATTTTGTACTTTTTACTCCACAGCAATTATCTGATAACTTTACTTACTAGTTATTTCTAAAATATTTTTTTTAAAACATGTTTTTATTGAATTTTCTGCAGACATGAATAAGTCAGAACAGCACCTAATTAAATAAATGAAGTATCTGTGGCAGAAATAAAAAACAAACAAACATGGACGAAAGATACAGAAGAGGAAGCAACAGGTCCAGAGGATCGTAATGAAGACCATTGGAAACCCCTCTCTCCACCTCCAACTGGCTCCATACGGGGAACATTCTCAGCATCAGGAGTACTACTGAGGTCATTGATAAAGGCTGACAAGGGACTCCTTGTCCTCTTTTGTGGAAAAAAATTAAGGATCCCCTCAGGGAGAATCATAACTCTTCCAACTGAATGCATTGTAAGACTTCCTGTATTCATCTGTTGTGCACTGGGAAGGGTAAAGTATGTCTCCATTAAAGAAGACTGTTGCGTCTGGTGCGAGAACACAAGCTTTTTATTATTTTCAGAAAACTGGTTTCTGTTCATAGGAGGACTCACTGCAGTTTATTCATTGTGTCACTTAACACTACATTATTGTCCTCTTGAAGAGGACTCTGCAGTCTAATGAGGGCTACTGATGCCTCATGACTGAGTGAGAGGTCAAATCCTGTGTAGTAAGGAACAGCTTGTTTATTATGGAATTAGGGAGGGGATTTAAATTAAACAATTAAAAGCAGAAAACTGTTGAGTGTCCCACAAAGAATACCCAGTCACAAATGCTGCGGAGCACTAAAGTCAATATGAAGGGGATTAATTAAGAGATTCTTTGTTTCATAATTACATATCTGTCCATGTAATACTGAACATATGGGGGCTCCATATTGGCCACTGATTCCTAGACTTTGTTTTGTTTTTCATAAGCTGAACATGTGGAGTTTCGTGAAGTCGCCCTGTGATTTTGCCCCCAAATAAAAAAAAAAAATTGTGACTTTGGGCACTTCAATATTCATTGTGTTAGTTAATAAATAAATAAAGAATACAGAAAATATATTCAATTCTTTATGTAAATTCTATTAATATTTTCATAGCAGCAGTACAGGAAATGAAACATTGGCATGTAATGATTCTATGATATTGATTCAGTGCATCCTGGGTATCCTGGTAAATATCAGGAGAAAGTTTTTGGTAAGGCAACAAGTGACAAGTGACTGACCCAGAAAATAACTGCAAAGTCATCACCAAACACCTGACACAGTCCTTTGCAGGTGAGTACATGTGACACATTCAAACAGGACGGCACAGAGGATCATCTCCGGTCCTCAGAGTTCAGGACGGTAGCACCAAACACTGCTGCAGGTCAGACTGTAGTTCTCCTCTCTGACAGACTCGGGCAGCTCAAACTGAGCCAGCTGACGCAGGAGTCGTCGGATGCCGTGTTCCTCAAACTGGGCTCTCCCCGGATCTCCGATCAGGACTCTGGTGCCGTGGGTTTTGATGCAGAGGTCCAGCCAGCTGTGAAGGCTGGTGGCGAGGGCCTCGTCGTAGAACATGTCACCCAGGAGGATCAGGTCAAAGCCCTCGAGTGGTGAACCGATCATGTTATCAGTCAGACAAACAGGCGGCTCCAGGCCTTTCACCTCGCAGTTCATGCGCGTAGCAATGGCTGCAACTGTAACACAAAGAGTACATTATCTTCTACTGCACTGGCTGATCAGACTCCAGGTATCTCGCACAAGTTTGTTTTCATTTGTAGATATTTACAACACTTTTAGGTTTACAGTTATCGTCTAAAATGTGTTACTGAACACTTGTGTCTATTGTACAATAACAGACACTCAGTTTGACTCTTTGCAACAAATTTTGGCACTTTGAAATTCTGTTGTTAAAAGATTATTGACTGACAGTTGCAGTAGCAGCTGCCCGACAGCACATTTTTGCCACAGGGCCCCAAAAACAGTGTTTCAGTTCAACATTGGGTGAATCACAAATGAAACATGGGGGCTAGGGATCCTCCACCTCAACATTTTTTTAACATCCAACACTTCATTTCCTGCAGTCAGTTGGATTCAGACATCTCTCAAGGTTTCTGCCCCGAGGCCATGTCAATAAACAATGTACGTTTTCTTGTATTACATAAAAGCTGCTGTCTGACTCACAGTCACCGGTTCTCATGTAAGACTCGTTGGGGCTGTTGCTCTGCCAGTAACCATGGGAAGTGATTTAGTTAGTTTATCAAGTGATAAATTCAGTGAGTGCCAGGTGAGGAGAAGAAGGTTCATCTAAACACCAACACACACACACACACACACACACACACACACTAACGGGATCATCTGTGTATGTGATCTTATTCCATCAGCGTATCGTAAAATAGAATTTCAGTCTTTACATTTAATGTTCAAGTTTGTTATTTCAGTAAGTGCTGAAGAAAACATCATCCTAGATAGTTGTAAGGGAAATAATCATGTTTGCATATTTTTTAAAAGTTTTACTTGCACAGTCGTTTTTGTTTGATCATTCTGAATCTGTACTTTGAACATATAACCTCTGCCTGAACAGACCCTCGCCTGCAGTTCCTTTAAAGTGGTACAAACTATACAGAGGGCTCCTGGGAAAGTGTGTTCGGGACAAAAAGTTTAAAAAAGAGACCAACTTGTGCCTTTTCTGCATTAGTTAATGGTGTGTTTATGGTGCACTGGGGAGGACATGTTCTAAATACAGAGGGGGGATGTGTCCTAGGGCTGGGTGATATAACAACTATGTGTTATAAAAATTATGATTACACTGTGTGTGTGTGCTACTATTTTACACAAGTCATGATGAACTGTTCCTGTTTTGTACTGCAACATCAGCAGACTCATCAGCTAAGGTTAAAGGAAGTTTAGCATTATATTTGTAAGAGGAAGACAGAGAAACCAAGGGTCGGAGACAGGTCGAGAGCATGTCATCTGGGGGTCAGTCTGGCAGGGGGTTTAGTGGAACTGAAACGCCTGAACTCCAACGCCCACTTATGCTGTATAAAAACCTGCAGTGTTTGCTCCTCAGGGAGCCTTTTCTCTGTAACCTCATCTTGTGTGTTGCACTGTGAAACGCTCCTTCATGTACAAGAAAATAAATTCTGTTAAACTTTGATATTTCGGCTCCGGTCCGGTTGTTTTAAGGGTCATTATGAAGAAATTCTTTT